AAATAGTTTACCATTACTGTTCACTGTATTGTACTTGAATCAAACAAATGTCTAACATTATTTTAAGTGAAACTATAGAAATACCTGTGTTCTATAGTAAAAGTCCCAAACTAGTACCAACATATTCCTATCTCTTTCTTCTTCAAAATTACTTTCTGCAAAATCATAATCACAAAAAAAATTTTATTAATTAAAGAAAAAAATAATTACCAAACCCATATCATCAGCTAGAATCCCTCCGTGGACATTTTCTGGTCGATCTTTCTCAGAAAAATTTGTTATTGTATTATAATATAAATCATCTCGCTGTTCCCAGAATGGTGGAAGTTCTTTACTGTTTTCCCGTGAAACCATCCAAGCTAGAGCTTGCTTTTGATGTGGAAGCAACGGTGTTTCAATAGCCTATAAAATGTCACAAAGAAAAATATAATAAGCTATTCTCTTTATCACATGATCTGAAAAAAGAGTTAATTTTATGGTTAAAAAAAAAAAAGTATGTCACCAGAATGTTTACTGCAGCCCAATTCATAATTACTAAGTCATGGAAGAAGCCCAAGTGCCCATCAACCCATGAATGGATTAATCAATTATAGCATATATACACCAAGAAATCTTATGCAGCCTGAAAAAAGATGGAGATTTTATCTCTTTCATGTTTACATGGATGGAGCTGAAACATACTCTTCTTAGCAAAGTATCTCAAGAATGGAAAAAAAATTACCCAATGTACTCAGCCCTACTATGAAACCAATGTATACCAACTACAGCTTTCGTATGAAACCTATAACCTAACTATAGCTCAAGAAGAGGGGGAAGGGAAAGAGGAAGATGAGTGGAGGGAGGGTAATTGGTGGGAACGTACCTATGGTGCATTTTACAAGGGTGCATGTTAAATTTACTAAGTGTAGAGTATAAATGTCTTAACACAATAACTAAGAAAATGCGGTGAAAGCTTTGTTAACCAGTTTGATGAAAATATTTCAAATGGTATATAAAACCAGCACATTGTACCCCATTAATGATTGCATTAATGTACACAACTATGATTTTTTAAAAAAGTACATATTATCAGCATATTTTAAAATCCTGAGTAATTTTAAGTAGAAAATACTGCCTCAGTACCTCAGCTGGTTCCATTTCCTGAGTTTTATCATCTTCTTTTAAATCTTCAAACAATTTGTCAAATTCCGTTTTAAGCTACAATAAACAGCAATAAGAAACATCATGAAACACACCAATTAAAATAATCACACTTAATTCAGAGATTTCAAATCATTTAGTTAACTAAAAGGGTCAAAAGCCAAAAGGCACATAAAATAAATGAACTCTTTGACTGAGATACTACACTGTTCACTGAAGATAAAATGAAGAAGTGCTTTAGTGGTTTAAGAGATAACTGTATATTTGAAAGAATACCACAAAGAGAGTTTTAAGTCCTGGGTTTCATTTACAGTTCTGTCACAGATAAGCCTGTACATTTGAAAACACACTTAACCTTTATCTTTCTGTATCTT